TTTGTAAGTTTAGTTTCCATTATATTTCCATCATATATTCATCCAGTGATCTGGCATGACTACTCAAAAGTTCTTTTAAAAGAAAACAGTTTGAAAGAATGGTCTCCGTATAGTGCTTGAACTATAGAAAAGGCAGTTAAACCTAACATTCTGTTTTACATAGTAATTGCCTAATCTGCCATTTCTACAGCATGTAGGATTTGAAAGAATAATGACATGTCTCCTTAAATTTAAACTTAGTGCCCCCATTACTAAAATTAAATGCTTGTTTTGCCCTTTTGTCTGCTACTTTATAATTGAACAGGGTCTTTAGGCAATATTTTAATACGATAATAATTTGGTTTTCATAATGGAAATTAATAAGAAATGCTGTGTTGATTATAGAAAACGGAAAAAAAATACGGATATGGGATAGATGTTAGTTTGACAATCTGTGAAATATTTTCAGTGGATACTCCGAACCTGTACATCACTGACTTGCCCTGTTTTTATTTCTTTATCGGAGGCAGTAAGTTAACTTGTTATGTAGCTTTTTGACAAGTTCACTAGTTATTTCTATAAATGTGGTCTGATATACAATCAGAAGTAACAAAGGAAAACTTAAGGATTTATTTTTATGAATAGCTATAAATGAAGTTATTCACATAAACTTCTGATCTTACAGTCAAAGCTTACGTAACTAGTGCTATTTATAAATGGTTGCTAATTTGAACCAAGAATCATAAGTTTTTAAAAAACACCCTGTTTGTCCATTTGAATGCACGTAAGCTTGTAATGACTTTGTTTTTATCTCAGATTTTTAGCTGAAAGAATCATGCTCTCCTCCTGTCAATCTCTTTCATTGTGTGATTTTTTTTTTTTTTTTTTTAATAGTTGTTGGATGAGTCCTAGTGTGCAATCCTATAATCCTCCCCTGGTTATAGTGTCAGTGGGCTCCGGTTTTATCTATTTTTACTTGCCTAGTATAATTATTAAGACTATGCTTTTTCATTTCACTATAATGCCTGGAGTTCTTTATTGCTTCCTTTTTACACTTCTGTCTTATATGTTTAATCGTCTTGTATAACTAGTCTAGCAACGTTTACCAGTGTGTTTTTAGCATGTCTTACTTTGATTCCCTACAGTATGCCTGCATCATCTATCATTTGTCTAATACTGAAACACTTAATCCTAAATATATTTACCTTGATAATATCCTTATGCAACAGAAACTACTGTTACTCTTGTTCTGTAGCTGTGGGGTGAAGACATGAAGAGGCTAGATGATGTGACTGAGGACTTAAAAAATTTGGAGGCAGAACAGGGACTTTAGCATGTCTCCCAATTGTTAGGCTGGTGTGGAAATGACTCAGCCAGCTTTCGAGTTACTCAGGAATACTGTTTTACATCTATGGAGGTCTTACATCACAACACCTCCATTAATGTCTAGAAACTTTTCAACTTTGAACTGAGTCTTTTCGTATTTTCTTCAGATTTCCGATAACGTAGGTGTCTGCTGTTTGGTATTATGTGAAAACCATACCCAGGAACCTGTCATTTGACAGACTGCTACGGTGTTTGTGGGATCATCGATGTAACGCTGTATGTTACTAATCTAGTTTCGCTGGCATCTCAGATCAAGGTTTTAGAATTAATTCCTCTACTGCAGCAGTTTTTGTCAGTCAAAACAATGACATTAAAAGGGGATTTTATACAAGTAACCCATACTGGAAATATGAAGGGCACAGGAAAAAAAACTGTCAGTATTACTGAAGGTATGCACAAATGCAACAGAGAAGCAGGTCACTGGAAAAAGAGGAAATATATTTTGTCTTGGAACCTAGACTCTTCACAGTGAAGGGCTTATTTATTTGTTAGTACAGAAAGTCAGGTTCCGGTTTTAAGTAAGGACTAGCAAGGAGCTTCTCAGAATTTCTGCAGGAAAGCAGAACACAAAGAATATTTGTTTCACAGGAGTTTACCATCTCAGTCTTAAACTAATAAGAAAAGTTTTGGAATCTATTTTGGACTTAATTTTTCTTAACCTGCCAAATCTGCAAACACCAAATTACATAGCTTGTGAATATTTTATGAGAGAAATGCTCTGTGCTCTCATCAGCCATGTTTTCCACAGATCATTCTGTTTCTTTTTATTCAGTGAAAGGAATAATGTTTTTCTGGGTATCAATAATTAAACCTTTGAAACTAGCCAAACCATAGCTACACTATGATGACTGACGTCATTGTAACCTAATATTGACTAAGAACCTAATATTCAAAGGAATGCTGTGGGTAGGTCAGTTTTTAGGGAGTACCCGTTAGCTCATGTTTAGTTAGTTTAGCCTTTGCTTTCTCATTCCTACAAGACTGACTCTTTTAAAAAGGAGGTTTATAAGTCTCTGTGCAGCTATTTATTTCTCACATTCCCATCTGCTGTGTTTATTCATATTCCAGTGAAATTTTGTGTTTGGTAAACTGCAGTAGAACAGGTGAACTGCTTCAGCTTTTTTGTTTTGCTTGTTTTTAGCACTGGATGAACTGGTACTTAGTAAGTATTAAGATGAAGACTACAGATGGTGACTGTATCTGATGGAGAACATCTGCTGTGGCAGTGTATTCAGTAGGTACCTGATGGCTTGACATACACTGTACATTGTCCAGCTGATGAGAATGCAGCATAATACTACGGCTTTATATAAATTTAAGACCCCTGTTTGGAGTTACCAAAATGGTGAGAGAATGTATCTAAAGCCATGTAGTAGAGGTCTGCTTAACAGAAAGGAGAAGTAGTCTTATACGCAAAATTATTCATCTTCACATAGCATCTATGGGTGTCTTTGAGGAAACAGATGAATGAAAAGGAAACGAGCATAAACATAGACTTCCAATGTATAAGAGTGGCCAGTACGAAAGTGGTGTTGATGTGATATAAAAGGTTTCTTGAAATGTAGGCTCTAGGAATGCAATGCTGTTAATAGAGGGTCAGCTAATAGAGATAAAATTGCAAGTTGCTGGCATCGTTATCTAAAGCAGCCCTTCCGTAACTTCCCCAAACTACATTTTGTTACTGTATTGTTACTGTTTACTTCAAACCAGGTGCAACTGCCATTCTGGCAGGCCCTTTCTCATCTCACGTTCTCTAGGATGGATTTCCAAGGCTGGTACTGGGCTTGCTCCGTTGGTATTACTGTTTTCAAACATCCGCTTAAATTGAGCGTCCTGCTTCCTCTTGTGTGATGTGGGCATGACTTGATGTCCGGTATTCTCATTACAGTTGGTACTTCATGATTTTTGTGTGCTGTTCACACTAGTTAAACAGATAAGCAGAAATATCAGAAGTTATTTTCTTTGTTTCATCAGACTTTAACCCAGTTGTTTTTCCTCACATTACCTGCCTGTTTTCTATGTTTTCTAGCACATCTTAACAAGAGACTAGGTTTTTTTGGTACCATACTTCAGAGAGTGCTTACCTGGTTGTCTTTATAGTGTCCTGGGTTTTTTGGGGGTGTTTTTTTAGGGCTTCTAAAAAGACAAATTATTCTCAGATGATGTTTCAAGTTTTCATAATAATCTTCTGATTTCGTGCTGCCCTGGGTTGAATGGTGTATCTGTGTGTTAGTTCTGTGTTTGTTCAGATATTCTAGAGAGAGGTAAAGTGAAGCATAGGACTAAATTTTTGAACAAATGTTTTTGATCATATTTTCCCTTTTTGAAATCTGCTTGCTTAAGGTAACTGTGTTTAAGCATCCCAGGACTTCTGTAATCTAAATCAATATTTATTGTTGAAAAAATAAGACAAAGCATTGAGGTCGCTGGTTCAGGTGTGTGTCAATCTGTTGGTAGAATAATGGGTCTTGATTGCTGTACAGCCCTTCTCATCGTGCATTTTCTTCCATTTTGTGAATAAGTTTACGAAATATGTATTTCACAAAATATGCTGCTTCTCACTTAATCAACCTGAATGTTTGTGTCATCAAGTAATTAAAATAATGAACGCTTTGTGAAACAACAGGTAAGCAGAGTGGAGAAAGATAGTATTATCTTACTGGTAGCTAGTGAGCCTGTAAATGATTAAACAATTACATCACTGTCAGGTTATTTTTTTAAGCACCTTTTTCAGGTTGTGGTGTGGGTTACTCAATGCTTTGAGGTGAAGAAATAGCAATGGAACAGGACTCTACAGTTAACAGGACTGATTTGTACACAGTGTAAATGAAAGCAGCCTTTACATTCCTTTTAGTGATTTCTGCACAACTGCAAAATGACTTGGCAATAAATTTTTCTTGATACTTAACTGCCAATGAAGTAATCTGAGAAGCTAGCCGTGTAGATGAAATATATAAAAAATCCCAACTGCATACAAATATTACATGACAGCAACTAATCTGCATATTAATGATAAGTACAATAATGGCAAGTGTTAATCTTGATATGTAGCTGATCATGAGGCCCTGCTCCAAATGATACTTGGCAGGGAATAATTGTTTTACTTATATTTTAATTAAGAAGTAAAATGGGTGGGGGATTTTAATAGAGGTGCGAGAAGTGGTATAAATGCAGAAATACGTTGTATTATAGATGTTAATACCTTGAGAGAATCAAATACTGAAATAGGTCTGTCACATCTTACTGCTCTATGCTATTGACAAGCAAAAGTCAATACAGAAAAAAAGGTGGTAGAACCTTTTGAAAACATAAAAGCTACCTTTCTCTTTCAGTGAAGTAAATTGTCTACTATTTTATTGAGTGTTAGGAACTTTTATTTTTATACCGTATGAATAATCACATCTTTAAAATTCAGTTTGATGTATTGACAGAAAGGTTGGGGGTAAGGAAGGAGTATGTAAGCAATAACAGAATTTTCCAACATAAATATTTTCATGTTCCCTACCGTAAACTTTGATTTATGACTTTTCCCTTCAGCTCGTTGTTCAGTGATCTGTAGTTCTGTGAGTTTCTATACCAAAATCTATAATTATGAATGTTTTTAGAAAGGTGTGCATCTCTGAGATTTTAAATAGGTGTGCTGGGTGGAAAAACCAAGGAAGTCTGTGGTTTCATCCTCACTCTGCCAATGGCTTCTCTGGTGACTGAGTTTGGCACTTACTCATCATCTCAGTTTTTTATCTGAGAGGAAGAGATAATTACATCTCTCCTTTACTATGAAAACCACATTAATACTTTTATTCAGTATAAACTTGTGCAGAGTATAAAAGCCTGTTGTGCTACGCCGAGGAGGACCACGCCGTACAGTCTGGTGTGTAGAGTTCACAGTCTGAAAGGCAAGCTCCAACACTTGCAAAAGGCAGACAAACTGGTGGGAAGAGAGAAATAAATGGCACATGTAATTTTTAACAAGTCAGTAGCTGTCAGGACGCTGCGGGACTGGGGCTCCTGTGCACGGCCTGGCAGCCAGGGTCGTGTCCCACCGCCCCAGCCGGGGAGCGGGGCAGGCCAGGGGCAGCTCCAGCGCGGGGCAGCAGGAACCTCCTCGGGGCGGCCTGTGGGCGAGGGTGGAGATCAGGCCTGCTGGGGGGAACCAGCCGTGGGTTGGCTGGGCTGGTGGGGCCCGTGGCTGGGTAGCACAGGGATGTGGGGAGCAGGTGGTCCTGGGCTGGGCTGAAATGGCCTCCTGGGCCACAGGCAGGTTGGGGCGAGAGCAGCCAGGGCCAGTCAGGCCTGTGAGTGCCCCTAGGCCTTGGGGATGTGTCTAGGTTGCCCAAACCTCAGTATTTTGCTTTATTACAATGTCTGGTATATACAGCCACATGACCCACTCAAAAAACCAAAACAAAAACCCACAAAACAAAACGCTAGGTTTCTGTTTCCTGGTTTATAATCAAAACGCTGGTGCTGATGGTGGTCCAGGCGTTTCTTTGGGACCGATCGGTATGGCTTGGTGATGGGGGGACGGTTGTCCCTAGCCAAGCGTTACTTTCCTGGAACTGCCTTGTGCCGAACCACGTGTCGCTGTCCTAAGCAATGAGCTCATTTCTGTAGGTTGCGCTCTGTGCGCGTGCAATGCCGTATGCGTCTGTTGATGCGGAGCGCAAAACGTCTGACTCACTGTATCCAAATTTGTCGGGGAATGGGGTCCAGTTATGCAAATACAAAGTAGCTTTTATCTTCTGCCTGGTCATTTGCTCAGGACATACTGTATTACTGTTGTAACTCTGAATACTTTGTTGGCGTTACAGCCGCATCGTGTGCTGTGCTGTGCTGTAATTGCTAGTAAGAAGATAGAGCCTGCATTTTAGGAGGGAGACTAGCAGAGAAAAACCCGATTAGCTAATTAAGTTGCAATACTGAGATTGTCTAAAAACAAGTGTTGGTCTCCACATGTTTTTAGTTTTGCTCTACCGTCCTTTGCTGACAAATTCGGTGCAACTGCTTTATTAGTTCCCTACTGCTCTCAGGAGGTGCCCTTACCGTTACATCCAGCTGTGTCCTCAAGGCCGTCGCACAGCTGTGCGTTTTCACCGTGATGGTGTAGCATTGCTACTGTAGTAGTAATCACTGAACCGGCATCAAACATCTTTGCTTGTATAACGTCTAATCCCGAAGGGGATTAATGGCAATTGATTTCCTGCTTAGTGGCCTACAGGCAAGTCGTCTATAAACGAGACCTTTCGAGGTGTTGGTCTGTGCAGAGTGCTTGAAGCACTGATGCAGATCTGTGGGTGCGGTTCAAGGGCTCGGTACGTGCCTCGGCACTGAATTTTGCTGCCTCCCCTGTGCTCTGCTTGCTTAGCGTGGCTTGTCAGGTATTCAGGAAGTCATTAGTATTATGCTGTCACCAAAGGCATGCTCGTGGTAGTCTGATCCTTTGCATATGATATGTTTTAAGTGCTGTACAATCCAGGCTGGCTTTTCCTATCATTTCCCTTGATTTTTGTGCAGCGTCCGTGACTGTAGCACATAGCAGGCAGTTACAGAGCATTGCATCCTCGCTGCAGCATCCGTGAGAGACTGACACGAATTCCAATGCATGTGACTCATCAGTCAGCTTAGTGCAGCTGAGGCTCCGCTTTAATTTCTAGCTCTCCGTTCTACGAGACCCATTTACTGACAGAAGAATTCCTGTGATGTATTAAGCGCTTTCATTGAAACACTGGTTCACTGGTAGTATGGCAGCTCCCTGCAGGTGCTCCATGGTGTATTTTGTTCCCCTCACACTAGATAATTATTTTCTTGTTCCATCATGCTTCCCGTGAAGGTTTACTCAGATAATTAATTCTAATGGTAGTAAATTAAAACTGTGCATAAATTATGTTCATACCTGGTACACCTTGTTTTGAACTGATACATCAAAAGGTCCTTCAGTGTATGTCTGACAAACTCATTTATACGTAGGTCTATAATTGCATACGTAGTTCTTGGCAATTATGCTGCTTATATGGAAGGAACCTATAGCATATTTGATGCCAAGTATATGTGTTAAGATTTAATGTCAGGAGAGTCTTATTATCCAGTTGTTAGTCTGGTACCTCATAGAACATTTCTATTATTTCTAAAGAGATATGGCCAAGTAGGTGCTTAATTTCATCTAGCAGGAATCCAGGAAGACCGACTGGCTTTTTCATAGCATTTTTTAGCCACAGCTGTATGCTGACTTTCACTGTCAAATGGGTAAACATGAACTAACCCAAATACTTATTTTGCAGGAGGCCCAGAAGATCAATGGTGGTGGAGATACACAGGCAGATGGAGCCTGCAAACCAACAGATGAAAAAGAGGAGAATGTGGCAGCAGAAGTGGGGTGGATGACCTCTGTGAAGGATTGGGCGGGAGTCATGATATCTGCCCAGACGTTAACTGGCAGAGTACTCGTAAGTTTTCTCTGATTTTCTATATTCTTATTTTAAAGAACATTTTTTAACAAACACTGTGTCCTAGCATTAGTGGAGGATTTTTGATTGGTTTGTTGCATCAGCGCTGAGTCAATCCCAATTTCCTCTTTTGGAAGTAAAATAGGAGATTAATTCCCACTGCAAAAGAGAAGCAGAGATAGCAGGTAAGAAAAACTGACTTCCAGCCCACCCCCAGCCTATTTTGTTATTCTGGCACCAGGATTTTGAACTGTGCTACAAACACTGAGTTTGGAAATTTCATTTTATGTGCTAAAATTATAGGCCTATTTTGTCTGGAAGTAAAATTGTGCTAGCAAAAACGCAAGCCAACTTGGAAAATAAGTGCAGTGTTACAAATGTAGATATTGGTCAAAACTGCAAAGCAAAGTCAAGTTTGAATTGACTGTGCAGTGGGATTTGTGATACTTCCAATAGGCTAGTAATGATTTTATGTTCCCTTGATCTTTTTCTTTATCAATTTAGGAAATTCTTCAAACATGTGAATAGTTATGTATCGAATAAAGCCACAAATCAGATATTGATAATATGTGGTTTAAAGTTCCAGTAGAAAAACTTAATACTTTCCACTTCATTTGAATATAATTATTTTATAGCCTTGTCAATTCATTCTTAATTGTCAAGGGTTTTCTGTGGAGTTCACTCCACTAGAGGGTGTCTCCTGTGTGATTTTTATTAGTTTCCTTGTCAGAATGCATGTACTTATAAACTAACAGCTAAAGTGATTTAAATCCTATTTAACATTTTTTTTGAGAGTCCCAGTAAGACTGCAATTAGTTTGGGTTAAAATGAAGACTGAATTTGTGTCCCTGATTGTTTACTTTGGTTGAGAGATTTTACTGTGAGTCAGTTCTGGTCTGTAGAGTAATTATTTGGGTGTGGAGAGGGATGGAAAAGAAAAGAAAAGCACTTCCCAATCAAGCATTTTACATTAAAAAGTTGAGGTGACTCCATTAGTACTGTCTTGTTTAGTTCTATAGTAATACTATTTTTTTTCCCCTAAAAATACCTTCTGCCCATTTGCTTATGTTAAATGCTGACTTTTATCAAGGCTTGAAAGCATGTTCCATTGCTGGTTTTAGCATTATGTGTCTTCTATTCAAACTAACATTGCCTGTCTTATGAAAAGCAGTGTATTGATCTGCATGTTTTCCTGACGTCTTCAGCATTAAAAATGACAAATCTTAGAGCCATGCTTCTTGTTCCAAGTTAACTATCAAGGCTAGAAATCACCCAAAACCAGAGTCCTGTGCTCCTAACTATGCAATCTGAAATGGGCCTGTGAGGTGTGGGGTTTCTTGGGGTTTTTGGGGTTTTTTTTGAGGTATATGTGAGCACAAATACAAACCAACAATAGAGACCAAAACCTAAAATATAAAACGCATTTTACTGTGTGTTTTTATTCAAGATACTGGGAGAGCTTAGTTACATTTGATGACTTTGTTTATTTCTTTTGGGGTACTTTTTTTGTATTTGCAGTTTACCGTTGCATCTTATAAGGAACTAGTTTACTTCCAGAGTTCTTTGTAGACAGCTGGCCAACATAATTGAGTAAGATTATTTCTGAGAGTATATTTATATTCTTGTCAAGGTATAACAGCAGGTATGGTACACATCTGGGCTCATCAATATGACTAACCATCCAAGAAATAAGTAGCGATGTATGGAGTCTGTTAGTTAATTTTGTTCAGCTTAGAAAAGAAGATGCATTTATTTTAATACAGCACTCATCAGTTTCAGGATTTGAATTGATAGGATGTACATTCTGGAGGACAATTTCTAGTATGCACATTGACTGTTCATTTAAATTTTATTTTGTGTTATATTTGCTAAAGGTTAACTGCTTCAGTGAACATTTGTGCTAGAGAGAATATTCACATTATTTATAGATATAAGATGGCTAAGTCAAGTCAATATTTTTATCAGAGTATATTGTTTGAAAATACTATGACTTACTCATGAATTCCTACTAACACAGCAGTTCCTGTCCATGATTATGCTTCTGAATCAGTGTGGAATTATTTTTTTTTTTTTCCCCTGAAGAAAGAACTGGTGGTTTTACAGTGCTATGAATTGAAAATTGTATGAAGTAAAGAAATTATAGTACATCTTTACACTGTGAGAATTTAAATTAAAATCAATCTTATACATACAGTGGTTACTAAAAAAGTTGTAAAAGTGGTCCACTGAAAACGGGCTTGGGAAAAGAGTTATAACTGATCTTCAGTTCAGCATGATCACCTGAACGCTCTTGGGTAACTGTTGCCTAGGTTTATTTGATAAGTGAAGGAGGCAAATTAGCAGTGTTAAACACACATCAGTGTAAAGTAGAATTTTACTTGTTTTCTGCTTATGGAAAAAACTGTCATTATTATTCTTACCAGAACAGTCATTTTCTACAAAGTGAATCTTAGTTTTATGTCAAGTACTGTTTGTGGAACAAAAACTGAGTATTT